CTTGTATTTTGATAGACACACGGGGTGCATTGTGTATGCTATAATAATGGAATCAATTGAAAGCGGAAACATAATATTTTTTACGATTTATTTGCTTTGGCGTTCGGAAGTGCAATAAAGATCTTGAAATGAATTTGTTGTGCATGAAACGTGAGAGAGAGAGAGAGAGAGAGAGAGAGAGAGAAACACACCAGTTGTTGCAAGCTCAATGAACATATCATTCGTTATAATCAATTTGTTTGCTTCAAACGAAATTATACGATCGTTTCGATCTTCATCGTTTCGATGTGTGAACCTGTTTGTTTAGTTCGATCTTTTCGAACCATATGCAATAGCCGATTCCAGTGAAACGATCCCGAAGAAGTATAGAAGTCGTAAAGTCATAAAATTTTGACACCTCACACCCTCACACTTTCGCTTCACATGTTGAGCATTTTTCCAACACGAAAGATGCGTTCTTGTCTTATCGGGTAGCAACGTTTTTTTTTATTACTTCACTGGAAATGCATCTGTGCAGATCGATTTGTTCTCTTTGGAATATGCGTTTTTTGTCCTTACTTCTCCTCCTGTGGGAGTCTTTGAAAAATTCTTATTTCAAATGTTAGCCGTATTTTTTTTTGGGTTTACAAGTGGATTTCATCGAACGCTTGTGTAGTTTGTTTCACGAATTTTGTTTCATTTTGTGGCACATTGATTTGTTACAGTTCAAGTTTTAATGTTTTTTTTTTGGAAACAGGCGCTATCACACATACATTTTGTATTACCCTTACAACATTTTTTTCCATTGTGAAGGGCTACGCACGCAATTCTGAGGAGGTTTTTTTCTATTCATTCGTTTTTTCTTCAATACGTGTTGGATATTCTGGTATAATTTTTATGACATTTCACAACATCCAAATTAACAACAAATATATTTTTCCTTCAAATCCCTTTATTTTCTTTGGAAAAAATTCGCTCTTTAAAAAACTTTATTACCGTTCGATGGCCTCCAATCGGTTGTTTAATAAGCAAAATGCATTTGCATCAGCGTTAATTTGATTCATAAAATCTTTTTTTTTTTTGAATTAAGTGCCACACTACGATTTCAGGAATTTACGGCGCTTGACGTGCAATTAAAAACGTTTTTTTGATCTGAAGATGAATCGAAGTGGAAACATCAATATATTTTATGATCAAACAATCCTCCTTCTGATTGGTAGTAAATAAATTACTGTCCGCTTCAGAATATTTCCATTTTTTGCCTATCTTCGGGCGAAAAAGAAACCTAAGCGCCAGAAAATTGTCTCCATTCCAATCGTTGCATTCTTTTCGCATGTGTGTTCACATTGTTATCTTGACATTGATAAATTGTTTGAATTTAAATTCTATTTTGAATTTAAATTCTATTTTGAATTTGATTTTAGGAAATTTTCGTATGATTCATATTTCTTTGGTGGGAATTCGTTTGTGTGCGATCAGCTTGCCATTCATACATGTGTATGATGGAAATGATGACTAATTATGCTGCAGTCACCGAACAATGACTAATTTCCAGCGAAATCAGATAGGTATACACTTCACTATAGTGATTAACAATGAACTTTAAATCTTGGAACAAATTGATCGGACAACATGGAAATGGTTCGGCAAAATGAAATTCAAACGAAAAAACTGAAAATGAAATATGTCGAAGTGGCCAAGGAAATGTAAAATTTTCAATGAAATTATCACCTAATCGTTACCATACAATTTGTTGGTGGTCGTCTGTCGTAAAAAAAACCACAAACGAGATGTCTCAACCCGTAAGATCATTCACCTGCCACGGAATTTCGGATCGGTGAAATTCATTAGCGTGTTGTAGAAAAAATTGTAAAGCAAACGACCCCACTCTCGATAGACTAAGCACGATCAATACTGACAATTGAATTAGCGCGCTTTCAATCGAAACGATCGCAATTGAAGCGTATCGCCTCAATGTGATAATCATTTTGCGTCTATCTCTGGTGACACTTGTGCTATCTTTTCAATCGATTGTGTATGTCTATGGTGTCATCATGACACACAGACACAGCAAGACAAAACAAAAACAAAAACGAAACCAAAAAGGAAAAAACGAAACAAAATGAAACGGGTAGGTGTTGTACTCACCATTTGGTCTGCTGTTTTGATTGTGTAGATTTCCGGAAAGGAATTTTCAGTCGGCGGCAGTTGCATCTTGCTTATTTTTAACAACGTTTTTTTTTAAACACTGAATAACGGCCACTCGAGGTCCACACTTTTTTATTTTTTCACAACTCTTTTTTGTCTGTTTTTTTTTTTTCTTTGACACTTATCCACCTCTTTTTCTCTCACATCGAAATATCACTCTAAATGTCTATGAACGTTTTTGTACAATTCCAAACGAAAACTGATCACTTTGATTGAGATTCGTTGAAAATTCTGAATTTGAATCTCATTGAAGAATACGTTGACTGAGTTCAAAATATGAAATCTTCGGCAGTTTTATCGACGTGTTATCTTTTGTTGGGTAGCTACTGAATATTTAAATATAAAAGATCCAGATTATTCATAATGAGCTATTAAATTTTTATAATTTATTGCGAATAATTAAATCTTACTGATTACCGTTGACACGTTATTTGAAGAAGAGTAATTAAAAATGAGAGAAGGTAAAGTCTGCAGATAAAAGTCGGTTCATTTCGGCCCGACTCGTCAACGTGAACTAACTCAAAATATGGGATAAATCGGTGTGTTGTTGTTTCGAATAGAGTGCAACGAAGGTAATGGAAAAAAATCACAATAAATCGAAAATGCGTACACAACATTCAACGCACACGAGCGAGCATCGTTCGCTGTGCCGTGCTACTATTGCACAAAACGTTGTCGTTTTATTTTTCTGCGTTGTTTTTTTTATGATGGAGCAATACCGGTGAGAATAAAAGGAAAAGCAGCAATCTTTTGATACGATAAAATATAGCGAAGAAACGGAAAGAGAGAAAAAAATCCACTTGTTGCTGTGACGTTATCGATGAATTATGCAGTAGCAGAGACGAACACACACGCTTGCTGCTTTCGATCACCTCTGATACACATTGACTTCTGCTGCTGCTGCTGCTGCTACTGTTGCTGTTTGTGTGATTCGATTTCGATGTTGCTTTTCCATGTCAATTACGGTTTCTGAATGATCGCACACACGATCACACACACACACGAAATGGGAGAAAAGAAGAAATACGAACAAAGCATTCGGTGAGTCATTTTTTTTGTTGAAGTTTGAGTGATATGCTTTTTGTTTTTATATTTTCTGAATGAAAGCACACACCAACTACTATTACACTCTCTTTCCGACGACGACGACGACAACAAAAAACAGGTAAACAATATATATCAACAAACCCAAACAAAGCCTCTTCAACTCGATCTATATTATTTTTGGGCTTTTGCATTTTCTAATTGTACGCAGTCATTTGAAACGTATACGATAACTATATATTCCGCTTGGCATAGAAACGACTTATAAATTGCGATGTGTTATTACCTGGATTCTACGGAAGACCCAATAAAGATATCAATTTTCAAATGCATTGTGAAAATGCGCTTTTACTGCCATCACAACTCACAGGCCATAAAGTGATAATCTCTTTGACAAAACAAACCGCTTTGGACCTTCACACTCTTTTGTCCACGGAATTTATGACACCAAGTACAAAAGTGTACGAAATGTAGAGAAAATACTTGAACTCTGTATCACATGAACAAACAGCAAATTTTTTTCGAATGATAATCAACGAACGGCCAATTTTCTAGACAATGATCAATGCTTTTCAATTGAATAACTGTGTTTAAATCATGAAATGCTTATTTGAACCGTAACTGAATTCTAAACGAATACATTTTTTTGTTATTGTCATTTCGATCACGACAGAACTTTACTCGATTCTCCAGAATTCTATTGATATCGATGATTTTTATCGCTTTATTGCATTTATAAAGATATTATGATATACTCAAACTTGTCGACGTGTGATTTTCTTTGTTGATATTTGACGGGGTTTTTTGCTTCGTCTTTAATAAAGACTCTCTGTTTTATTTTAGTTTCATTGATATTTACATTTTCCGTTGTCGATTATAATCATAATCTTGGCGAATGCGATTGTATTCCATAATTGGACACTAGTTCAACAAGTGTGTAAATCATTTAAACTGCACAGAGGTGTGAAATAATCCGGAAATCTATTTTTACTCTTCGATTTTCGATTGAAATCGAAAGTATCGATCAAACGAAAGAAATTCCAAACCTAATATTTTATTTGGCACTATTATATTGTCATAAATTCAACTTGGATATTAAAATCTACATTTTTGAATCTAATTAATGGTGACCGTTGAACCGATCCACAAGTATATGTGTGTGTGTGTGTGTTCGCATATATATTTTGGTCATTGTACTAATTGACAAGATTAGTTGGCTTTAACACATGTTGTGCGACCGATTGCTGATCGGTCGCACACGATTGCAAAATGTTCGATTAGATTGAGATAAAGATTTACAATAGTTGTAATCCCATATTTGGTGAAATTTGCCTCTAATTTCGTTCGTGATTTTCGATTTGATAGTATTTGTTCAAGTTTTTTTTTCTCCTTTCGATCGGTTCAGTTCGATTTAATGTGTTCACAACAATATTGTTGAAATCGTTGTTATAATCCGTGGAAAAGATTGTTATAGATAAATAGCCGCCAGTCAATTACAATCAGAAAGAGAGATATCAACAATTATGTAAGATGTTCATTTTAAGGCGGCATTACTCCGAGTGTAGTCAATTGAAACTGGTTAAATGTGCGTCGATACGATTTGATTAAAATTTCATTTGTATACAAAATAGCCATCGGCGCCATCTATCCAAAGTAAGCGGAAGTAGTCGAAACAAGTGCTGCAATACATCATGCCTATTGTGAAATTCGCAATAAATTTGCTTTTGCCGAAACTTCTAATGAAAACAAAAAAAATTTGCACCGCAATATCAATTAAATAACAATGATATTGAGAATCAATATATTTTTTTCGATTTTTTTTACAAGGAAATTGGTTAATACTCTAAGTAAGTGGCTAATAATAAACGGTGTGTTTTATAGCGTATTGTTCACGATTTTTACGCTGCAGCTCTTCGTATGTGACATTCTCATAGTGACGATTACGAGTGTCATCTTTATTTGGATCAGCGGTGTGATGCGTGTTAATCCCTTTGAAATGGGGCCGTTCTAAGTCTAAATTTAGATGATTGGGCTGCAAAGAAAAATATGGACAAAAAAATGAAAATGTTTAAATATGAAAAGATCGATTTAAGCTCTTAAAAAAATCCGAAATATTCGATTATGTCAATATTAATTCGAAGCATCAAATGAAGACTCACTTGGAGAAACGGTTTTTTGGCGCCATTCTTGATATTTTTATCCTTCCAATCAGCCATTATCATATTTCGCACTTCTTGATACCGATGCGAAGTGTAAAATATGGCTAATTTATCATAGTAATTCTCCCGAATTCCCAGTAAACTGGCGCCAACGCCAATGCACATGCACAAAAAATTCTTTCGCATCAACCCAAAGATTCCATTGTTCTACAGTTGATTTAAATTGAATGAAAAACAATATTTCAGAATTAATGAAAACCAATATAGTGTATAGGGGCATTTGGCCAATCGATGAAATTACTTTCAAAAATCCCTCCCGTATGGCAAAATATGTGGCTGCACTCAGTGCAATTGTGATGGGAACGGCACGTTTCGTCAAGGCTTCACCAATGCAATCATCCAACAGTTCGACCTCTTTCCGTCGATCCTAAACACAAACAAATCAAAAAACACTAAATGTCTACAAAAAAACAAGCTCAACTCAAGGATAAATTGATAAAATTGATAGCAACTCGCCGTACATAGAATTTCTTTCGTAAATTGCCAAAAGTGTCTTGGTAATCCATTGGCAATGAGTTATTGTTTAACTTAAATTTCTATGCTTGTTGATAGACGCAATTTAGGCTACAAATGACGAAAACTTTGTTGATTGCATGCCAAATCTACTGTAAAATAGACTACAACGAGAAAAAGAGGAAAAAAATACAACACACACAATTATGTAAGGTAATGAAAACAAAGTGCAAATAATTTGTTGTCATTCGAATTGGAACGGCTCAGTTGTCAAAACAGCAGCAGTGCTACCAACTGTCAAGCGACGTACGGCACAAGAATGTATCTGTTGGTGCATGTATGCCAGTGTGTAAAAAAATGGACAGACTGGAGCTTGACATTTAATTAGACACAACATTTATTTCGATTCACATCTAAAACGTAAAATTTGTTTCCCTTTATTTTGGTGTGAACAACATCTTGCCGATTTTTTCTACCAAACAAAAAGAACATACAAACACGACGACGAAAACCAAATTACGCGTTTCGTTTGGTTAAATTTTGTGTTTTGGCATAATTGTTTTTTTTTTTCTGTTTTCAACTGAAGCATTCTGTGATCCGTTGATTATTCACACTCACACACAAAATTTATTGTAGCCAAAAATTTGTGTTTTCGTTGTCGAGCAGTGATTTCATAAGCCCACATATAGATTACGAACAATGGCAATGCGTTCGGGAAACATGTTGATCGACGAAGGTGAAACAAAGAAACCAGTTGCACACAATCCACTGGAACAATTTTTGCTGTTGGCCAAAGGTACAAAGGGTGCTGCGTGCCAGGATCTTATAAAAACCGTACTTGAAGCGCCCGGTGTGTACGTCTTCGCCGAGCTACTGGCACAACCAAACATCCGCGAGGTAAATCTAACGGATCCAATTTTACTTTTATCATTCATAGATTTGTCACGTGGAAATTTTCGATTTTCGCTCTTCATACTTGATGGGACTTTCTAATGTTTATACGACTATTTTCAGCTGGAAAACACACCACACGTCAACTATCTGAACACATTGAATCTGTTCGCATTTGGCACATACAAACAGTACTTGGACAACAAGAGCTCTCTCATCGAATTGACTGACACCATGAAAAATAAACTCAAACATCTCACAATTGTCACGATGGCGATTAGCAACAAATGCATTGCGTATAGCGATCTGAAGGAACAATTGGACATTGGTTGTGTTCGTGAACTCGAAGATTTGATCATCGAATCCATTTATGCCGGTTTGTACACTAGCTACTCCAATTCATTTGTAGTTTGTAACGCCGTTTCTGTCTATCTTCTCTGAAATGCATTGTCTTTTAACGCGTTTGTTCTCTTTGTCATTCGATTCTTTGCGACAGATATCATCCACGGTAAATTGGATCAGAAAAACCAACAGTTGGAAGTCGACTATGCGATCGGTCGTGACATTCGGCCAGAAGATGTGAAAAAAATCTCGGACACACTACAAGAGTGGTGTGACTCATGCGAATCGGTACTGCAAACAATCGAAAATCAAATTGATCGCGCCAATGCGGCCAAATCCATGCGCACCAAACACACCGAAGACTTGGAAGCCGAGGTTTGTTTCTATTTGTTTTTATTTTTTGGAAGAAGAAAAAAAAAGAATGCAAAAATGCTTGACATTGAATTCAATGTTGAAAATGTGTTAGTTCCATTGAAATTGAGAATTAGGTTATTGTGCATGGAAATGTCATAAATGCGATGACTCATTGTGAGTGTGTGCTTTGGATTTTCTTTTAGATCTCGAATTTGAAGAAAACACTCAAAACCCATTTAACTGACATCGATGAAGATTATACGATGGACTACAAGGAATCAACGACATCCACCACAACCGCATCGACCACGGCCGATTCGCGCATCAAAAAGAATAAATGCAAAATCATGAAACCATCCAGTGGTGGTAAGTCTTGGTTTAAATTCTAAAATGTGGTGAGAACATGTCGAAAAATCAAATCAGAATAAGAGAAAATGCCCGCGCGGGAGAGATAGAAAGAGAGAGAGAGAGAGAGAGAGAGAGAGGGTGGGTGAAAAAAACGACACAGCAAAAGGCTAGTCAAATATACGGCGAATGGATCGAATGTCATTGGAAAATACAACGGCATTAATTCATTGCAAAAAAAGAAGAAAACAACAAACAAAAATCAACCCCAAAGAACTGAAAACAAATTTACGAGGAAAAAAATAAACGAATACATAAAAAAACATTGTTTCAAACGGCTTGTGAAACATCATATTGAAAAAAACACACATATAATTGAATAAAAACTCATGTCAAGTTACGAACAAATCGGCTCGTTGTTGTTCTTTTTCTTCAGTTCAAATTTTAACTCGTTCATTTTTTTTCTTGTTTTTTTCATTTGCGATTTTGTTTGCTTTTTTCTTATTCATCGTATTGTTTTTTTATTTCGTTCTTGTCAAAACGTTGCACTTGTTCATTTTGCATTTTCTTATTATTTTGACTTTCATATATCTTTTTTTCTAGGCAGTGGCTTAATAAAATTCCATCGATAATTTGCAATTTTCATCCAAAAAAAAACAATCTAGCAATCACATTCTTAGGTTACCTCATCTTAACGTTCGTCGTTCAACAAACGAAACAATTCAAGAAGAAAAACTGCTTGCATTGTTCAACGAAGCAAAATGAGGGAAACACGAATCAAAGAAAATCCCAACTAACTAACAACTGATCAACAAATTAGATAATGAAGAGAGGAAAAAAGAAGAAAAAAACACTGATTTTTGAATTATTTTTTTTCGCATTTTTTTTGTTAAATATTTAAAAGAAACAATTAATAAAACTGATTTGTTTTTACTGAATTGTACACCAATTTTGTTTGATTTGAAATCTGTTCATGCAATCGGTTGACAATAGATCTATTTGTAGCTACAGCGTTCTCATTTTTACTCCGACCAAGCATCACCTATACAGAAAAATTATTGTGGAATTATCAGATGTTCGAGAGACGTACGTATTCAATTTGAATGTGAATGAATGCAAAAAATTATCAATGGACGTACCATATTTGTTCTTTGGCCCGGAATTGCCACCATCATCATCGGCTCTAGCTCGGAAATTGCGTCGCCGATCACTATCAAGTGTTGGACTATATGATCCAGCCGGTGGACTAATACTAGCTGCCGGTGGCGGTGGTGCATTGCCTTGACTGGAAAAGAAATTAGCAAATTGTCGTTTATCAAAATCGAATCACATCAACAAAGTGTTTCCATTCTCACTTGTAATATGCTTGTGGTGGTGGTGCTTGATGCTGTGGTGCCTGATGGCTCTTCGCATATTCGTCTCGATTCTTCTGACGTAGTTCATCATAAGTAACTGTATTTTTGCGTGTTGGAATCGCTAATTCTTCATTTAAATCATTTTTCCCTTCCATCGTTGGATGGTAAAGATCATCAAGGCCCGAGTAATTTGGTCGGCTTGTGTCTAAATTTAGGGAGTTTGGCTAAAAAATGCAATGTGTTTCAGTTAATACATGAAAAAAGCGTGTATTATTGTCAAAATTACTTGGCCATATTCATCCGAATAGGAATCCGTTGCTGATTGAAACGGTGCCAACGATAGTGCTGTTGCTACTCCAGCATCTTGTGGGCCCAAATCCCAATTGCTGCCGCCTTTGCGACGACGCAGCATTTCGGCAAACCGTGAATTTGGTATTGCCATCATTTTCTCTTGGCATTTCTTCATATAACTGATTCTGCCCGCGATATATCCGAAAAAACCTAACGCTATCACCTTTGGCCATGGACCAAACCTCATATTTGGCTATGGAAGGAAACAAGAAATTAACTTTCATTAGAACAAAGAAGTGTACACATGAAATCATTCGTACTTTTAAATAGCCATTCTTAACACCCAAAAATGCAGCCGTTCCCAAGCCAATACTAAATGGTAGACTGCGAGAGTAAAATGATTCCCTTTCACATTCAGCAATTACTCGAAGCTCTTCGGCTGAAAAACGGTAGTTCTGTATGTAAAAAAAACGAATGTAAATAAATGTGAATTGCAAAAATTACGTCATTGTTTTATTTACCAGAAATTCTTTTCTTGGATCGACCGATTGCTGACCTTGTTGTAGTTGGCCATGTTGTTGAGGATATTGTCCATAGGCCGTGTTTGGCCCATATGCATTTGGGTCTGACATTCTCAAACAATCAACTTTTTCTCTCTCTCTCTTTCTTTTCGAGCCGCAAAAAATCAACGAAATTTGTTTTTGCGTACACTTGAAACTGGATTGATTGTTGAAATGTTAGGTTAATAGCAAATACAAATGTCAGATGTTTTTCTTCTTATTTTTCTTTTCATAGTCTACCCGCCGGATTGTATGACGTTTAACAGTGTATGTGTGTATGTTTATATTTACATTCTTTGTAGCGATAAGATTTGACAGATGAAATCAATAGCACTTATCGGGAATCCGTTTCAGTTTATGGGTAATCTAGAGGAATTGAGTGCTGTCGATGAATGTGGTTTTTCTCTATCAGCCATAATCATTTCAATAACATAAGCTCATGCTCAAGTAAATAACATGACAATTCGATTTCCATTGATTATAAATGCATTTATGGATCATTCAATACAGAAATGTGTTGCGCCATCTGGTGTTAAACGGTTTTATTATCTCTTCGTAGACGGTTTTATTCTTCTTTTGATGATTTACTGAAGAAAAAAACTCGTTCAAAAACACTCGCAATTTCATCAATTGAATGATCATTAATCTATTTTTTTAGAGCAAAGTGTTATTACACAATTTAGATTTAATCCTCAAAAAATTAATCAAATAAATACAGTCATTATTTGGGTGAGAACATTTATATTCTTTCACACACACTCACTCGCTTAACACAAGTCAAAAAAATGATTAAGTACGATGATGATATCAATGTTTCGTTGATGATTCCATATTATTTTGGGACTTGCCACTTTATCAATGGCACATAATTCATCTTTGAATGAGCGTGTATGTGTATGTAATGTACTCATTGTTCAGCTTCAAGCTGAATAATAAACGATATTGTACGATGGATTAGTCGGAGATTAAAGCAAAATGAGAGAAAATATAGTATAATAAAAATTTATTTCACTGAAATTGTTTCAATAAAATATTTGATTGGATTTTTATTTAGAAAAAAAATTAGCTCTTTAGCTCAAGATCTTTTTCACTCTTATTCATTATTCAGTCGTATAGCGAGAAACAATCGATTGTTCAATGGAAAAACTTCAGAATCACCTGGTCAATTAATGAATTCCAATCGAATAATCCGTTTGATCGTTTCATAACAAACATTTCACCTTTTTATTGAAAGTTTCCGGTGTCTTTTTTTTCGTTCTGTTTCAACCGCAACTCACCTCAACAATTTATAAGTTCTGAAATAAAATCGAATGATACAATAAATATTCGGTCGAATGTTATGGAAGTCACATTTCGATCAGCGAAATATCATCATTTATTTTACGAGCGCGTTAAACTATTTTTGATGAAGGTTATTTAAAACAAAAACAATATCGAAAAGTCAGTTATTAAACAAGTGCCTGAAATATAGTCATGGTGGGATTATATACTTTACACGTACAAATTTGTTATTTGATGAGAAGCTCTTGGTAATAACATTTGATGAGGTTTATGATTTGATTTGATTTTGATATCAACAATTTCAACGAACAGACTTACACATATACACCCACCGCACCAATTCTCAATGGCATCAAGTTACAAGTGGCATTGGCTTTTCGATGCGCTATCAACAATTTCCATAAATTTGTTGACTGATGGAAAAGAGTACATTCGGATTTAGACATATATTTATGATATATATTTAATCAAGACATTTTATGTAGTTGATGTTTGTGCCTGGCTCGTGCCAAGATGTGTCATACATATCTATCTATACATCATAATACCTTGTTCATCAATTTTTATGTTATTCTTTATACGATGGTGGTTGTTTTTTTTGTTCGTATGGTGTGTAATTCCATTATTACCGTAAATGTTATAATTTTAGTGTCTATTGCTTGAAAAAGGGTAATTCAAAAAATAGAAATAAATATGATTGGCCTCAGGTAGGTATTAATAAATTAATAACATGTACAATAATAATTCTGCGTATAATTGATTGAGAATGCGGGGAGAGTGAGGCGAAGTATAAGGAAAAACAAGCGGTATTTTTTGTTGTCTTTCGATGGTGATCCTAAAAAATGTTTGTTCGTGCTTTTATTTATCGTTTGTTTGCTATTGTTTTATTATTGGTTCGTGTTTGGAAATGATTTTGGATCGCATGGTTTCGGATACTCTCTCACACTGGACGCGGCTCAATTATGATTATAGTTGTTATAAAAAATATTTTTATTCATACGTCCACTCGTGCACAGTTTCTTGTGTTGTTGCTCTTGTTGTTGTTGTTGTTGTTGCTGCTGCTGCTGCTGCTGCTGATGATGATGTTGTTGTTGTTTGCGAACCGTTTCAAGCGTTAATTTGGCGTTTAAAATACATATCGTGAGTGAGTGAACAGGCATTAGTTTGAGCGAGCTTGAGCGGCAATAATGTTTTTGGCCTGTTTTGTGAAATTGAAGCCCGCTTTTGAATGGGGGGATGATGTGCGTTTATTGAAGTATGCGGTCATACAATTGCTGGTGCTGTGGTTCTTTCGCTCTCGTCTAGTCTACGACTCACTCAATTTCTCATTCATCCATTTGGTTTAGTTTGTCGCATAACCACACGCACACACGTCATGCAAGGCACGCGTTCAATCACGAAATGGACTTCCATCAACCGTACATAAATTAAAAATACTTGCGCCTCGGTCTCGCGCGCGCTCTCGGCGATTACTTACGTATGCGTCCCTCTCTCTCTCTCTCTCTCTCTCTCTCTCTCTCTCTCTCGGTGTGTGTATGTGAAGTGTGATGAGTCGCCACCAGCCATCACGCACTTTTCATGCCCAATTCTTCTCGGTTGCAAATATGATTAAAAAACAAACCGATTTTGAATCGTGTATATGCGAAATTCATGATACAGTCGATCCACTTGCTTTCCTGTGTTCGGTTTGATGATGACTTCGTTTCTGTGCTCCGCCACGCTTTCAACTCTTTCTCCCTGTGCGATAACACCACAGTATTTGAACGAACATACTGCAAATCATACATCACACACAATATCCAATACGATTTGCAGTCATGGGCCCAGCTCAACACAGTTCCGCTCTATTCTGCTCTGCTTTGCTCCTGCTATGATATGCTGAGCTGTGTTGTGCTGTGCTGTGAATCTCATTCGCATACAAAATATACATTTTTGTTGCTTTTTGTCGCTCACATTTTACATATTGCTATGAAAGGTTATGTAATGGTTGCGCTTTACCGTCAATTCACACACACACACATATACTGGCATACGCACACAAAAAGGAATATCGATCGCAATGCTCTCGCTCTCCCTCGTCTTCTCTCGCATTCGCATTCGAAAGCACATCATCGACTGCTCGGCTTTCGGAAAGAATGTTTCGTGGAGAGATGTGTGCCATAGCGCGAACAGGCACAACATATTAAGAGAACGCTAATGCCCATTGTGTATTTTTCAAGCACATATCCCGCTACGGATAATTTTTCTTTTCTCTTCTTTTTCTCGACTTTCGGTTCTGTTCTGTTCAGTTCTGTCCTCGGCGACTCGAATCGCTGTTGCCTGTCATTTCGAATCGTTTCTGATGCCTTTAGTGATGCTTTTTTATTAGATTGTATCAAAAAGCTCACACCCCAGCATTAGCATCATCATCAGCAGCATCATTCCTCTACGATACATGAGTGTGTTGACTATCTCGCGCGCGCGACCAAGAGCGAAAGAGAGAGAGAGAGAGAGAGCAGCCGACTTCACAGAGAAACTGCAACCCTGTTAAGTGGTTCAAGATTACTTGCTTAGTTATTTTTCTTACATTGTGCGATTGTGTCATATTACTTTGCTCTTCGGCACACTATGCTATGCAAACAATGGCCCTTCGTACGTGGGGTACTTGTCGAAACACCCTCGGCTCCTGTGTGTGTGCCGCATATAACTTTATTTTTTTGCTTCTTTCCTTTTTTTGCTTCCTTTTTCCATTACATTGTTTTTGTCTCACATCTCTTCTTCGTCGTTTTTTCTGTTCCTTTTTGTCTTTTGCCCCAAACACACATTCTCACTCTTGACTTTGCGTGCTTCTTGTTTTCCGCATCTCCCTTTGTGACCTCTGCTGTTTCTCTATATTCCATTTCGTCATCGTCGTCGTCGTCTTCTTCTTCTACTCCTTCTCCTTCTACATTGCCTCTCTGTATTCTGCTTCGGTTCTCCACTTCTTTTCTCTTGTTTTTTTTTTTTCGTTTTGTTATTGGTTTGTTTGCAAATCTCCGTTGAAAATGAGCGAAACATTCTTTCAAAGCAATTTTCAGCAGGCGATTTGTAATCCAAAATACTTTCCAAATAGAATGTGCTGTATGTTTAAATAACTCGCTCGCTCGTTCGTTCGTTCGTTCGTTCGTTCGTTCCTTCGCATCACATTTCGATCGTGTGTGATGGCTGATGCATATATTGAAAGAGTTGAAGTTTTCGTGCTCTCTCATAAACTTCCGAAATATTTTTTTTTGTTCAGTTCACTGAAATATTTAATTCATATTGAATCTCCTGAATGAGGTCGCAACTTCGCTATATGTCTCAAACACACATACATTCACACATACACACACGCACTCGATATGACTTTCCATAGATGACTGATATATGTATGCTGATTATGTATATTGTGTAATTGCACTAACCAATCAAATTGACTTCTCCATTCGATTGCAATATTTCCATTAATTTCTCTTTCTGTTCTTTTTTTCGCGGTTTTTTCTTTACAAATATTCGGCTTCAAGTCAATCGAGTGTCGGTTCAATGTTTCAACTTTGAAATGTAATTAAACATGTTCATTGCACCCACATTTTCCGACAAGAACAACGACCTAACTCAAAGCATCCCATGCCGTTTTTTTTCCTTCTTGTCCATTTATTCGTTGGCTTGTTCTTTCACAGCCGATCGGTCGATTCAACGATTTCAACGTGTCATTTTGCTGGGAAAACAATATTTGAATCGTTTTATTTGCCTTTGGAATATTTGGCATTCTTGTATGACCCATTAGAAACAGTGGTAGATTGACCCACATAATTGTCTTATCAGAGCAAGAGAGAGAGAGAGAGAGAGAGAGAGAGAGAGAGAGAGGAAGAGATGTTCGATTAGCATGAATATGGGTCAACAAAGCGGATACATTTCACTTAAAAAAAAAAACCGTGTCGATAAAAACCAACAACAACTACCAAAAATGCCGAGTGTCAAATTGTTCATTTGGGTTTTCGCTCATGGCTCGTCTAATTCATTCAGTTTGCACCTCTACAGCATTTCTCATGCTGCCGTTTTCATTATGAGCAACGATTTTGGACGATGGTGTATGGCTTGATGGGTTATGCGATACGCGTACGATAATAACGGATTGATTTACTGCCACGATGTTCGATGGTTTTAACACGAAAGTCGAGTTATAGAAGAAATGGCCATTTGGGATTGCATGTGCTTGTATTCGGTAAATATGCTCTGAATCCTATTTTCAGAGCATAATCATGCTTAACAAATCCACTTTTTTCCCGTTTCAATGTGGTTTATGTGTGTATATGTGTGTTTGGCTCAGGTGACTGGAAAATATTGGGTGAGTGGTTAAAAGCTGCGAAACAAAATAGTGATATCCATTTACTGAACTGAATATATACATAGGTACAATATATATGGTATAGGTTCCGAACACCCCCTAAATGCACTTTGACGCTTTCCGTTTTTGTTCTCTCTCTCTCCCTCCCTTTCTCGCTGTCTCCCAATGACTTGGACCATGACGTCAAAGTGGTAGCATATGAATTGTGTATTCCGATCACATTGATATTGTATTTATAAATACCAATACAACGTTGTATTACCATTTTTCCACCTCAAGCCGTCATTCAACGCCATCATTCGATCGGATGAACGAAAGGAGTGAGCATAGAGCGCACATACGATGTGTACGAGAAAGGATACACACCAAAAAAAGACGACAAGAAGTATGTGTTGTTACTTTGCCTTTACTTGTGGCAAATGTGAATAGTCTTTTGCACGGTATGCTTCATGTCTATAGCTGAGCTGGCGGTGTATTGAGCATTATTTAAACGCTAAGACCCGTAAAGTTCATTGAATACTAAATCAATTGAGCATGAAAGATCACAATAGCGACCATACAATGATTTGCAAGGCAAATACATCATATACAGCAGCCGTAGCCGAAGCAGAAGACACAAAAATAGCGAATAATCCACATGCGACCGGAACAATGTAAATGACAAGCAAAAGTAAAAGGCGCATCATTCATCAGACTCAATTCAATCATATCACAAAATATGCAATCTATCTCGTCTAGTCATTTTGGCAAAAAACTTTTGCTTTTCGCAACCAACTAAAATGGAATAAATTACATGGGATTTGGGTTTAATCGCTGGTTAATTAATTGTTTTCAAAAAGCTAGAAAATCCAACGGGAATAGCCAATCAATACCCAATTCACCCGACGTGCTTATGGGGATACAAATAGCTGGTGAATCGGGTGCATTCAAAGCGATCTCTCTACGCAAGCTCAAGACAAAAATCACACATACACACACACACACACACACACACACACACACACACATAGGCAAACGCAACACACAAACACGCACACACGCTCAACGCGCACATTTGAAGTCAATGTGGACAGTGTGTCCCCTATTCATCATCCAAAATATTACAAGTCGTACAAACACATCCACCGAATGATTACATCAAATACATTGTATGCAGATTAGACTGGCTAACATACACTTTCTTTTCCTTTCTCTCTCTGTCGCACTCGCTCTCTCGAAAATGAAATCGTTTCCTTCAGCAAAATTGTGTTCACCAAAAAAAAAAACACATTGCGGTATCCTATTCATCTTTACAAATTTCCCGAGTTATTTTTGAAAGAAAAATGTCGTCAGTTTCTAGAAAAGCATGGTTATAAACCGTGGTTTTTCTTCTTTTACTGTAATCTAACGAAGGAAAGTTCCATATATAAAATTGCAAAAGCATTCCGTACAGGCTAGAGCAAAGCATTCAGCCAAATTCATTGAATGCCACTTATAAAACACTCTTATGGCACGTACACTTTTTTCCAACGAAAATACGAAGAACGGTGCTAAAATGGGAAAATCATTTGTATGGTCGCACCACTCGCTCGTGCGTTCATCCATTCAATGGCTATGTGGAAAAAGGCACATGTATACACACGCGCACGAGAGCAAACCTCTACACAGATATACGCACACATACACACACACACACACACACACAGAGAGAGAGAGAGAGAGAGAGAGAGAGAGAGAACACAAATAGTCAACGTGAAATATGGTATGCTATAGAAGTAAAGTAATAAGTTACTTATTAGTTATTACTTTCATTTTATTACTGTAATAAGATGGACTTATTACTTATTACGCATCTTATTCCTTTGTTAAAAGTTTCATACAAAAATCATGTCAAATTTTGCAAGACACATTTTTTTTCAACATTTTTTCGTCTGACATATTTTTTACATGAAACTTTTTTTGCGATTTTCTTTTGCACCAAAAGTAATAAAATATTTATTACAATCTTATTACTGTAATAAGTAGGTAATAAAGTAATAAGAATTACATTTTTTTACTTCTATATGGTATGCATGGAAAAGCACACGCAAAGTCGATGCTTTTTCCATTTGTAAATGTAAAAAATACAAACACACACACACACACACACATGCACACACGTCGTTGTCGTCGTCGTCGTCGTGGAGAAATGTTTCAAAGTGGAAAAATATACGTTGTTTTCGATGTTTGTCAGTCAGTCATAGGAATAATGTTGGTTTGATAAGAACGCGCCTTCAACTGAGCCACACTCTCTTTCATATACACGTTAACACATTTCATTAATTAAATAAGAGCGTTTGTTATATAGAATTTATATTGCGATAAAACTTAAACAACAACCACAAGAAGAAGGAAAAAGAAAACAAGCCCGAAACTAGGCAAAGTGGAGAAAGGTGTGTGTATGTGAAAATAATTGAACTAACAACCAAAGAAAAGAAAAAGAAAAGTAACAACAACATCAAGAGCATATTAAAATAAAAAAGTGTTTGAACAAACGTTGAAGTGAATGAAAACGAATCTATATAGAAAGTATACATATATCATAGATTGTTTGACGAAAACGTTACCGACATTTCGATATACCCCAAAAACAGACAGAGAGCGAGAGAGAGAGAGAGAGAGAGAGAGAAAGAGAAAAACAACACACTGTAAATAATATTTGTATGTTGGTTCCCGTTAGGTAATTTTCCGTTTCGAACCGACAGCAAAACGGCACACAGCACCAAATGAATAAGAAGAAGAAGTAGTAGTATTAGTAGACAAACGAAAGAAAAAAAACGAATGAAAAATATCACAACAGAAGAATTTAGTACACAGTACCAAATGAAAAATACGAGAAGAAAATGATAGAGAAATGAAAATTGCTTACTTTGCGAGAAAAAAAGAGAGCACAAAATACTAGTACACAGCGCGAATAAACAAAAACATACATGAACAATGGGAAAATTCAATTCAATTCGATGCCATGTCGCGCATTTGGAAATATGAATGCAGGGCGAATTCGCCGAGCTCAAGTGAAACATTTGGAGAGAGAGAAAAAGAAAAAAAATGTTTTTAAATTGAATTAAGTGTTTACATGCAAAGGGATTTCAATTTCACCCCAAGGCAATGAATAAGCCCGAGCAGAAAAAGTACAGAGAGAGGGAGAGAGAGAGATAGAGACAGAGAGAGAGAAAGAGAGAGAGAGAGAGAGAGAGAGAGAGAAAGAGCGAAAAAGCACAAGAAATTGGTAAATTATTTGCTTTGTTCACGTCACGAATTGGAATTGAGTCATAAATTCACCAAAGAACATTGGTTGAATGCGAAAAAGAAAGCGCCACACACGCAGAATTTTAGTAGCCTTTTTTTCAACTAATCCCCCTTCTAAAACTCACCATCGAAAGCACACGATATATTTTCAAAACAAGAGCACTGTGCATCAGTCAATGTGATGAATTGAAATGACCGTCGCAACATTACCAGCGAAAAGAGAACAACATCAGCAAGGAGAAGAAATACCAAATAGAATGTATGAAATATCTTTGACGGTAACCAAAAAGTTAAAAGCCCATTCAAATGAAAATATAAACGAATTATCATCGTGGACGACGTCTTCGTCGTCGTCATCGTCAGCAACAGTAGCAGCATGAATTAATAAGTGCATTAGTTTTAAATTAAAAACGGAAATGAAATGGCGAAATGTGGTACAGAGTAAAGTCATTTTGTGGGACATGAAAAGAGCAAGAAAAAATGTAGAAACGGGAGATTGATCAATTATTGAAGAGAGTGTGTCATAAATGCAAGAGAAAAAAAAAACGAAAACGAACAGAAATGCCAAGGCAAATCGAATCAATTTGGTGAAAATTTGCAAATAAATGTTGCGGACTGATTTTATCCAGTGAATATGGAAAAAAAATTACCACTATAAATAACATTCCAAAGTGTCGTTTAGCCTTCGAAATAAAGCGTGAGCCTGCAAAAGGCTTGCAAAGCATACGATATTTCGCTTACGAGGGGCGTTTGTGTGTGACAGAAAGAAAGAGACAGACCGAGAGAGAGAGAATAACTTTCAACTATGGATTTATACACATTTGTGGTCTTTTGCATTTCGTTTTTTATTTTTGCTTTTACATTTTACTCCGTTGTTGTGTGTTTTTCTCTCTCGTCTTCGTCGCTTTTTCGTTGAATACATTTTCTCACGTCGCTATTTTTGTAAAACCGAATGACGAAAATAATGCTACTGCTGCTGTTACTGTTACTGTTGCTGTTGAGTAGAGTAATTTGTCCGAAGGTTGGCGAGTTGCTGTTGCTGCTGTTGCTGTTGTTGTTCATGTGTAGTATATTACGGGAAAATCGAAGTCATCAATGAATGTGAAAAAAAGACATGAGGGTGCAAATTGATATCAAAAAAGACGATACGAAAAGAGAGCAACGAAAAAATAGCGCTTTTTTCCGCTCACATTCTCATTTCATTGGAAGCTCTGCGATTGCCAGTGTAAATTCGAAAATCACACATTTATATACAAGACTATGTGTACGTTTGTTGGCCGATGAAGATTGCCTTTTCCTTTCGTTTTATTTCGATTCATAAAAATTTGCAGCCCGAAACCACCCCATGTCAATATTCGATTCGAATGTAGTACACACAAGTGATTTGCTTCAGGTTGAAAACGGGAAAAGGAAACGAATGGAAAAAAAGAGAACGAACTGAAATTGTTGATGAATTGATCGATTTATTTCTTCGATTGAATTGGATGACAAACGACTAGTCATAAGCGGCGTAAGCTCTTTCATTCTTTCTTCGTTTCAATTTTCATCGTTTTCGTTTGCTCGCTCGCTTTTACCTTCAAATTACTTATCTTATGAATGTCACACGTATCGTAACTGGAATATCCCATGGAGCAAACGAACGAAACGTACAGAAAATAAAAATGAATATTGCTCAAACTCGAAAGTTTATCCGAAATTCATTTGGATGTTTGCACCGTATGATTTTCTCAATAAATATCCCCTTTTGTTCCAGAGACACTCTCGCTCCGTCTCACACTCACCATTCGCCCATTCACACACAGTACATTTTTCCATTTCCATAAATGAAATGCGAACTGTCAATAATATGAGTGTTTCTTTTTTATTTCGGTCCACGAATTGTGTGTGTATGTGCGCGCGCGGAAAGTTGTCAACAATTGAATGAAGGTTGAATAAAGCATTTATCACATTTTTTTCTGTCTCAGTCTCTCTCTCTCTCTCTGTCTGTCTGTCTCTCTCACTTCTTTGCCATTCGTTCGTCAACGACAACGACGACGACGACGACGGAAAAAAGACGACAACATTGTCGTTGTCGTGCAAGTGAATGTGTATACACAATGTGCGACATTGATTAAATCACATAAAGCTACGTTCAAAGCTCGCACACGGAACGGTTATTTCATTGTGATTGCGCTATTTGAGTTGATGGTTGAGGCCGAATGGAAATGCTCTGCTCGACCGAGAATCGCATTGAAAAAAATGTTAATTTTAGTGCACGATCTGAGGACAACGAACGAGTGGTATTCTATGAAAAATTCATTGGAAGCAACAAAAAAAACAACAACCAACGAAAATGAAAACGAAAAACAACATTGAAATTCAAAATTGAACATATCGAATTTGGTGCCCATGAGTGGAAATATTCGAATTGCAGTCAAACTGTCAAGTTCCCTGCCGAGTCATCCACAAAACAACAACAACGGTTGCTGTCTTGATCGTTTGATTTGTATGTGTCGCACGGAGGGCGAACAAAGTATCGTTTGTGCAAAACCAATGTGTGTATGCGTGTGTTGCTGTGCCTATCTGCCGATCTATGTGTGTGTACGAGTTCGAGTGAGTGTGTGTTTCAACGAGTTTGTGCGAATGCAAATGTGTATGCAGGTCAAAAGCAATTTAGCAATGATTATGGTGTCATTTTACTGTGCTTTTGGCAGTAAATGGATTCGAGAATTGGTCCTAGACCAATGGAGAAAATGACGTGTGCGATTGGTATGCCAAAAATTTGCTGCTTTTTTTTTCGCTTATTCGCCCTACATCCGATTGATACGATATGTCATTCATAAATTATTTACACGCCAAATTCGTGTCCAGCAAATGATTGAAGTCGTAATTGAAGCGCTCGAGCACAATAATCCTCCATTTTTTTATGAACATGAAATTGAAATGATTTTTTAATTTTCAATTTTTTTTCTCGCTCATGCTACGGCTAGTGTGTGTGTGTGTGTGTGGATTGTCTTAGATTGATGTTTCACACACACCTATCGACCGAGTATGCACAGGCGCAATTTATTTCTTTTGTTGTTGTTGTTGTTGTTGCTACTGCTGCTGTTGATTCATCTTCCTAATCCTGCCATTCGGCCCATTCACTCGAATACTCGGAGCGAAAGCAACAACAACAACAGCCACAATAATAATATGAAGAAGGAAAAAAAGCAGCAATTCCACACATCATTTCAATGGATGGCCACTAATGATAGTTTCATGTCTCTCATTTTCATTTAACTTGAAGTGTTGCGCGCTCATTGTGCTGTTCATTGGTTTGCCCGTTTGTTCATTCGGTCTGAAATGCGACACATGATGGAGATGAAATGAAAACGAAATTGACAGAAAGCCACCATGGGGCCAAACACATATAGCGAAAGCATGTAGCCGACACACAGTTCTCGACATTCCGTACTCGTTTTTTTCTGTGTTCTGTTTTCTGAACAGAGACATTTGCTACTTAAAATTTGTCTCATTCTCAATTTAGTGAAAGCGTGAGCGAAAGAGACAGAAAGATATAAATATACATAAACATATAGACACACACGGTCGAAATGCATTGGGACAATTTAAAAGGGAAAAACGCATGTGTGCGGAAAAACCACCACAAATGCGATAATCAACACACCAACACATACGGACAAACAAACACTCACACACATACACATGGGGAGCAAGCGACACGCGACAACCCATCTGACGTACACGCATTCGACCCGAGACGAGCGCAACATTGATATGTCAACTCACTACACAATGTAAGCGCGCAAGTGTTCAATCCACAAACAGTGGGCTGTCTAGTGTGTGTTGTACCGTGTATGGGGAAATTTGTGTGTTTTTCTTTTTCTTCTATACCATTTAAATGAATTAGATTAGGTTTTTGCTCGTTCCTCTTTTTTTCGCTCTCTCTCTCTCTCTCTCTGTCTTCGACAAAAAAATTTCGTCAACGTTGTACGGTTTCATTTGGAACCCTTTTGATTGGCACATTCAAAAATAATGAATCAGCCAAGCGATAGCGAAAAAAAGGTGCAAAATCTCTGCATCGTACATTCGAGCAAATCGTGTGTACGAGTGTCATTCTTTCGTCACGAATGTAACGGTAGAAAATTTGATATTTCATCAAATTTCC